TTCCATACAATAAATTTCAAATTCATCTTTCCTTTTGCTCTCCCTCCAATCCGTTTACTGAATTCAATTATTTCTTTTTTTTAAAAAGGTCGAATATGATTAATCCTATTATAAGGCACATTCTTTGGCCAAAAAAAAACATAAGGCACATTATATTCTAAAAATTAAATATTTAAAATATAAGTTACTTTATAAAATTAATTAAAAAATGACCGACACATATGTAACAACCATTTTCTCAGCGTTCGCATTGGTGATGTAATCTCTTGCATCACTACTTCTTGCCCATCAAGCTATAGACTTTAAAATCACCGTTTACTTCAAAAAAACCTCCTTCGTGACCGACTCACCTCCAGTCTCCCGCCCTTTCGCTATATAAGAAACCGATCCGCTATCTCAGGGTGCTATAAACCCATCCATTCCCCCCAGATCGGATCCTCAATTCTCAAACAAAGCCAAGTCCAGCCATGGCTTCAAATCAACAAGTGAAGCTTTTCGGAATCGTGGGAAGCCCATTTGTGACGAGAGCAGAGATTGCTCTGAAACTCAAGGGAGTGGAATATGAGTACATTCATGAATCCTTAACGAACAAAAGCGATCTTCTTCTCAAGTACAACCCAGTTCACAAGAAGGTCCCTGTGCTTCTTCACAACGAGAAGCCCGTCTGTGAGTCTCTTGTGGTCGTTGAATACGTCGATGAGGCTTGGACTGGCTACCCCATCCTGCCTTCTGATCCTTATCAAAGAGCCCTGGCTCGTTTCTGGTCTAAGTTCATCGATGACAAGGTGATTAAACACTTATGCTTCGTCTTCTCTTTGTTTTCTTGTTAGGATTTGAATGATCGGTCACTAAAAACAAGTGTTTTCTTGCTTGGTTTTAGTTGTTGCCCGCGGTATTTAAAGCAGCGTGGAACCCAGATGTGAAGGAGAGGGAAACGGGAGCAGAAGAAGCAAGAGAGGCTCTGAAAATTCTGGACAACGAGCTGAAAGGAAAGTTCTTTAATGGAGATTCAATTGGGTTTCTGGACATCGCTGCTCTGTTCATCGCTTTCTGGATGCAGCTAATTCAAGAAGCCGGGGGGCTTGATCTGTACAGTGCTGAGAGATATCCAAAGCTAGAGAAGTGGGGTCAAGAGATTTTGAACCACCCAGTTGTGAAAGGAGTTTTGCCTCCCAGAGAACATCTCCTCGCCTTCTTCAAAACTCGCTTTCAGAGCATCGCTGCTTCAAAGTAGATGATCACATAATTACCCATAGTCCATCTTCGATTTACTTAATCATCCGTGTGTGTGATTGAGACAGGGAAAAAATACGTGTAACTAGGCTCTTCTCTTGCAAGGGAACCCGACTGTTCTTCGCTTTGGTTATCATGTCATAAATCAAACTTTATTGCTTGTTGTCCTTTCTTAAATCTCATTTTTGTCGTTTTGGTCTGCTAGATTTTTCTTACCTTGTGTGTTTCATGAAAGCACGAGGATCTCTTTTCTATTTGATGCGACTATCACTATCCCGTGTTGCCTTAAAATTGCTGAATATGTCGCGATTGAGAAGGTTCTTAAAATAGACAAGTGAGAAAAAGATATTAGGGCCTGTTTAGGTATCCCCAACCGTGGTTTCAGAAGCACTTTTTCGCAAACGAGATAATCTCCTCCACATATTTACTTCGTAATCCGTAAAAGCACTTCTGAAACCATGGTTTGGTTTCTATCCAAACACACCCTTAGATGCTTTGAAAACTTGAGCAGAGTGAATGAAACTAGAACATGCCCTACATAACTGACCAAAGAGAGTAGATCAGAAACCGAACCTCAAACCGAGAAACCATAAAACTATCAAACACAGATATTAGAATCTCCGGCAAAAAGCAATGCCATGGCTTCAAATCCACAAACGAGGCTTTGCTCTCCGAAACTGAAGTGGGAGATACGGACATATGTTTATGAATGGCTGAAGAGTAAAATTGATCTTCTGATCCAAACTCCAATACAAATCCAATTCATGGGGAGATTTCTGTGCTTCTTCACAATGAGAAACCAATATGCGAGTCGCTTCTGTTCATGAACTGCCACTCAGTTGAACTTGCTAGACTTCAGAAACTCGGTGCCAAAGAGGACTATTTTTTTTGCCCTAGAGGCAATCCTATTCAATATACTGTCGGGCACTTTTCTTAACAGAAATTTGAACATTAATTTGTCACGTTGTGAGAGACTAGTATTTTTCGTTAGACTTAATTTGTTTTGGTCAAAGAGGATTATTAGTCAAGAAGATTGGGATTCCTCTTGCTATTGGGCTTGGTCTTTCACGCCCTTAAGATGAGGGCTGTACAGGGGCGCTGTTTTCAGCATATGCAGTACAGGCCCGGTCATTGCCACTGCCCAACTTAGTTTCCATTCTCTCTATTATGATATCTGTACGACAAATTTAGTCTCAAATTTCCCACCTGTGATGTAAGGAAAAAGATAGTTCGAATTTATAAAATTTTGTTTTTATCTGATCAGATGCATATTCAATGCTTATTAGTTTACGTAAATGATAATAAAAACATTTTAGTAAAAATGAACATAGTTATAGTTCATAATTTTAAAAGGACAGCGTGATTTAATCATCTCTTAGAAAATGACAGTAATATACAATTACGAAAAATTGATATCTAATTGCATGTACTTATAATGAGATTATGTAAGGTAAACATGTGGTTTTTGAATGATTCAACCACCAGGTCAAGTAAATTTTTTCATATATTTAATTTTGATATTTTAAAGTCATTTTTAAAAATATGGTTCATCTCAGATAATTTAAAAGCTTATGAGTTTGTTTGGAATGACTTATAAGTAACTTTTCAAACGTAATTTATAAAATACAAAATAAGTATTTAATGAGAGTTTTATTTTGACTCACGTGAACTTATTTAAAAGTATTTTCTGAACGGACCTCCAAACCAGTCCTGCATTGCACCAAGCCATCAAGCTGGCCGGTCCCACAAACTCTAGCAGGGCGTCTTCACCCTTCGGTTTCTCTCTTCTCCTCCAACTCCCCTAACTTTCGACTTCTCTCTCCTCAGTAACCACATGAACTGTACAGCTTTCTTATGAATTCTCATTGAGTTGAAGCATACCCTGAATTATTTTTATTGCCCTACGTAACATGACGGGAAGATGAAACCACGGCATGTGGGGGACTCTACAGTACATCCGTTTAATTTGGATCATCATATCATAAACAAAGTTTTATCGTTTGTTGTCGTTTCTCAAATCTCACTTTTGTCGTTTTAGTCTGCTAGATTTTTCTTATTTTAATTGCGTGGTTTATGAAAGTACGAGGGTGTCTTTGTATTATTAGCCTTCGGCTTCCTGGTAAAAAGGAAAAAAAGTCTTCGGCTTTACATGCCTGAAGAGGTGGGGCGTGTGATGTCTTATTATTTTCTTGTTTTGAGTGCCCAGGTTAATTACCTATGTAACTTTTATATTTTCAAATAAGAAGGCGCGTGTTCAATAATAAAACAGGAAGATAAAAATATACGTTTGGTTTTCTGGATTTTTTTTTTTTACAATAAAATCATCTTTTTATCTTTTAAGTTTGATCGTCGTGTTGAAAAAAGAAGTAAACTTGTCACTCCCACTCATAAAAACACTCCAAAAGAGGGAACCTCACATAATAGCCACTGCCACTTTAAAATTATTATCATAAATGTATAATTCTTAGTCTTGATTTTTGTAAGGCCATGCCATTCGTGCAGTATGATAGTTCCTCTTGAGCACCTTAATATTAATTAATTCACTATAAATACGTACACATTTTAAACTCAATAAAATGACATAGATCTTGCATCCATTATTTTAAAGAAAACATCCTCCCTATTTTTTAAAACATACTCTCATTCTCTCTGTTCTAATATTTTGGGCAAACAAAAAGCTGACACGTGTCATAGGAACAAGTTTTAGTGCTCGTCATCTTGATGAACACTATAAACTCATTATAGTTAGACTGCTTATATCTGATTTAAATAGTTTAGATTTAAAATCTTTAATTAATTATTTTTAGTAGAAAAGTATTTTTTAAAAGAATGATGATTAAGAGATTATCTCTATTTTAAATTCTATACATACTAAAATAATTATTTTAAATAAATAAAAATACAAAAAATTAAATACAGACCATCTAAATGAGATATGAATATTTCAGATCTGATGAGTTTAGAATATACTGGTCATGTGTGGTTTATGAGATGCCGGTAATAACGATCTGTTAAAATTATTCTGGAAACTTGTTCATGGTGCTAGGTCTTAGCATTGAAATCGTGATTTTGAATTAAAAAAATAGTTTTTTTTAACATAAAGGGTGTTTGGATTATTTTGAAGTTAAAAAAAGATTAATATTTTGCCAGAAATTTTAAAATCAATAAAGGGCCTGTTTATAGAACAATTTATAAGCAACTGTTCAATCGCCAATTATAAGGAATTTTCATTACTATCCCAAACAGTCTGAAACCAGTCCCTTGTTTGCAATTTCAGCGGCAGAGCTGAGAACAGTCTAGGAGGATGTAGAGAGACAGGCGGCGCAAGATGCTACGAGCTGAAAGGCAAAAATCATCGGACTGTCACTATGCATTTATATTTATTCTGCATGCGCCTCAAGTTGTCCACTAAGAAGCCGAGAACCGCCAGAGTAGGTAGGATCGGAGCGTAATGGAGGACCAAAACATTTGACCTTGTTAACGTAATCAAGTGATTTTTTTATTAATACATATAATTTTTTATTGGAAGAAAATTTCTTTGAAATATTGCAGTGACTACAGCTCACAGTAATCAAATGAATTTGAAGACTTTCCTGTTTTCTTAAGTAATAGCTTTGACCCAATCTTCTCGTTCATTTTGCCTTTACACCTTTCCATACAATAAATTTCAAATTCATCTTTCCTTTCGCTACATAAGAAGCCGATCCGCAGGCCCAGGGACCATAAACCCATCCATGCTCCCCAGATCAGATCCTCGATTCTCAAACAAACCAAGTCCAGCCATGGCTTCGAATCAACAAGTGAAGCTTTTCGGAATCGTAGGAAGCCCAGTTGTGACGAGAGCAGAGATTGCTCTGAAACTCAAGGGAGTGCAATATGAGTACGTTCATGAATCCTTGACTAACAAGAGCGATCTTCTTCTCAAGTACAACCCAGTTCACAAGAAGGTCCCTGTGCTTCTTCACAACGAGAAGCCCGTCTGTGAGTCTCTTGTGGTCGTTGAATACGTCGATGAGGCTTGGACTGGCTACCCCATCTTGCCTTCTGATCCTTATCAAAGAGCCCTGGCTCGTTTCTGGTCGAAGTTCATCGATGACAAGGTGATTAAACACTTACTGCTTCGTCTTCTCTTTGTTTTCTTATTAGGAATTTGAATGATCGGTCACTAAACAGGTGTTATGTTGCTTGGTTTTAGTTGTTGCCCGCGGTATTTAAAGCAGCGTTCAACCCAGACGTGAAGGAGAGGGAAAAGGGAGCTGAAGAAGCAAGAGAGGCTCTGAAAATTCTGGACAACGAGCTGAAAGGGAAGTTCTTTAATGGAGATTCAATTGGGTTTCTGGACATCGCTGCTCTGTTCATCGCTTTCTGGATGCCGATAATTCAAGAAGCTGGTGGGCTTGATCTGTCCAGTGCTGAGAGATATCCAAAGCTAGAGAAGTGGGGTCAAGAGATTTTGAATCACCCAGTTGTGAAAGGAGCTTTGCCTCCCAGAGAACATCTCCTCGCCTCCTTCAAAACTCGCTTTCAGAGCATCGCTGCTTCAAAGTAGATGATCACATAAATTACCCATGGTCCATCTTCGACTTACTTAATCATCCAGTGTTGTGATTGAGACTGGGAATAAAATGTGTAACTAGGCTTCGCTCTTGCAAGGGAAACTGACTGTTCTTCGGTTTGGGCTATCATGTCATAAGTCAAGCCTTATTGTTTGTTGTCCTTTCTTAAATCTCATTTTTGTCGTTTTAGTCTGCTAGAGTTTTCTTTAACTTTTGTGTTTCCATGAAAGGACGAGGATCTCTTTTCTATTTGGTGCCAAAACTTCGAAATTCAATCATTTGTTTAATTTTGATGCGACTATCATTATCCCCTCTTGCCTTAAAATTGCTGAATGTGTCGCGATTGAGAAGGTTCTTAAAATCAGGTAAGTTTCTTATTCTGAGAAGAAAAAAATATTAAATGCTTTCAAAACTTGAGCAGAGTGAATGACACTCTATCATATGCCCTCGATAAATGACTAAAGAAAGTAGATCAGAACAGAAACTGAACCTCAGACCGAGAAGCCATAAAACTGCTAAACACAGATATTAGAATCTCCAGGAAAAGCAATGCCATGGCTTCAAATCCACAAACGAGGCTTTACTCTCTGAAACTGAAGTGGAACATGAGGAGGATGTATATTTTTTTAAAGGGGGGCTGAAGAACAAAATTGATCTTCTGATCCATACTCCAATACAAATCCAATTCATGGGGAGATTTCTGTTTTTCTTCACAATGAGAAACCTATATGCGAGCCACTTCTGTTCATGAACTGCTAAACCACTAATTATACTACCTTGATAGTAATTATAAGGCCTCATTTGTAGTTTACAAATGAGGTCGTATACTGGAGGTTGTACAAAGATATTGGGACAGTTCCAGTCAGTTGAACTTGCTAGACTACAGAAACTCGGTGCCCAAGAGGATTATTAGTCAAGAGGATTTGGATCCCTCTTAGTATTGGGCTTGGTCTTTCACGCCCTTAAGATGAGGGCTGTACAAGGGCGCTTCTTTTACAATGTGCAATACAGGCCCGGTCATTCCCGCTGCCCAACTTAGTATCTATTCTCTCTATTTGGGCATCTGTACAATAAATTTAGTCTCAATTTTCCCACGTGTGATTTTGGGGGGGGGGGATAGTTCGAATTTATAAAATTTTGTTTTTTTCTGGTCAGATGCATATTCAATGCTTATTAATTTACATAAATGATAATAAAAACATTTTAGTAAAAATGAACATAATTGTAGTTCAGAATTTTAAAAGGACAGTGTGATTTGATAATCTCCTGGAAAATGACAGTCGTGTGCAACTGCAAAAATTAATACCTAATTGCATGTACTTATAATGAGATTATGTAAGGTAAACACGTGGTTTTTGAATGATTCAACCACCAAGTCAAGTAAATTATCAGCCTTCTGTTTTTTTTTTTTTTTTGAGTCACCAAAGGAAATATCACACGCAAAATCACACGGACAAAGCAGCATGCCCATGAGTGTGTTCCAGGAGATGAGCTTTCCTATAAAAATGTGTCGCTTTTCCACCTGTCAGTTTCCACTGAAGAGTCTTTTTTAGCAGCATTAACGTTGCCTGTCTAGCTAATCTCGGATCGGATCGGGTCCTCCTAAACTAATCTTCTTCAACTACTCATCTCATAGATGTATCTACTACTACATCACACTGATGAATCGGCTGTATTCACCCTTAGCGCATCTTTACCCTCCTCGCGGCTATATAAGAAACTACCGAAGGACCCATCACATGCAGATCAGATCTTGAATGTCAAGCTCTGCGGCAAAAGAATAAGAAGCAGCAAACAGGCATATGGCTGAAAAGCAAGAGGTGAGGCTTTTCGGAATCGTGGGAAGCCCAGAGACGACGAGGGTAGAGATTGCCCTGAAGCTTAAGGGAGTGGCATATGAGTACGTTCACGAGTCTCCCACGAACAAAAGTGATCTTCTTCTCAAGTATAACCCAGTTTACAAGAAGGTTCCTGTGCTTGCCCACCACGGAAAGCCAGTATATGTGACTCTCTTGTGATTCTTGAATACGTTGATGAGACGTGGAAAGCTTGTCCCATCTTGCCTTCTGATCCTTACCACGGAGCCTTGGCTCGTTTCTGGTCCAAGTACATCGACGACAAGGTTAGAAAACTCAAGTTGTATTTTTTCTCTGTTTTCTAATTAGTAGGAATTTGGGCTGAGTTCTGAAATGCAAAATCATTAAACCTCTCTTAACATTTTCTATGATCATTTAGCTTATAAACAAGCTTTCTGCTTAGGGAAAAAAGTTTGTCTCTCTCCCTGAAATATTTGTTCAAAACAGGATTTTTTGTGCTAAATTGGATCGTCGTGCTTAAAAAAGAAGTAAACTTGTCTCTCCCACGCATAAAAACTCCCCAAAAGAGGGAACCTGACATAATAGCCACTACCACTTTAAAATTATTATCATAAATGTCTAATTCTTGTTCTTGTTTTTTGCAAGGCCATGCCATTCGTGCAACATGATAGTTCCTTTTGAGCACCTTAAAATTAATTAATTCACCGTAAATACGTACACGTTTTAAACTTCAATTAAAAGGAAAATTTTTTTTGAAGGAATGATGGTTAAAAGATTATCTCTATTTTAGATTATATATATATTAAAATAATTATTTTAAATAAATAAAAAAAGTCAAATAATGACCATTTAAATGAGATATAGATGTTTCAGATATGCTGAATTTAAGTGCACTGGTTCCATGCCCTTTATTAAGTCATATGAAGATCAGATGCGGGTAATAACAGATTTGTTAAAACTAATCCGGCAAAAACTTGTTTATGGTGCAGATCTTAGGGTGTGTTTGGATGAAACCAAACTATGGTTTGGAGAATAGCTTTTGGAGAATAGATTCTAAAAAAAATAGATTTTGGGAAGAATAGATTTTGTGAAAAAGTGATTTTGAGAAGTGTGAGTATTTGGATAGTTGTTATTAAAAGTACTTTTTATATATACAAATTGGCATAAATTAATATGATAATTATAGAAAAAATATATTTATATGATATTTTTAATTTGAAGGAATAAAATTGTTAATAATATATTTTTTATTAACATATATTAATAAGATATAAGATAATATAATTAATAAATAATTAATATGTATATATATTTATAAGATATAAGATTAAATATATTTATAAAAAATATGTTTATAAAAAAAACAACAAGATACATATCCTATAGGCTCTCACACTCTTCCTTTTTCCTCCAAAAATAAAAAATTTCTGCTTTTCTCAAAACCATGGTTTTGAACCCAAATCATGGTTTTGATTTTTTTAAGGTTGTTTGGCTAACATTTTTCTCAAATCATGGTTTGGGTCTTAAAATCATGATTTGGAGTGCTTGCCAAATACACCGTGCTGAAATTCATTTCTCACAGGAGAACAATGCTGGCATAAATTATTTGGACGATTCCATTACAATAAAATTGTGATTTTGAATTAAAAAAATAGTTTTTTTTGTTGAAGTTAAAAAAGATTAATATCTTGCCAGGAATTTTAAAATCAATGAAAACAGTCCCTTATTTTCAATTTCAGCGGTAGGGTGGAGAATAGTCTAGAAGGATGTAGAGAGATAGGCGGCGCAAGATGCCGTGAGCTGAAAGGCAAAAATCATCGAACTGTCACTATCCATTTATATTGGGCTCGTTTGGTTGTCACCTGAACAATATCAATTTTGAGTTAATAATTTGAAATCATGGTTTTAGAGTCTAAAATCATAATTTTAAGAGAAGTGAATATATTTTGCTTCTAATTCAAATTAAAGAGTATAATTGTATCTGTTAGAGTAGTTCTCAACAATAATATGACTTTAACATCCCTCAATTATTTTTTTATAAACATATTTAATCTTATATCTTACAAATATATATACACATATTAATTATTTATTAATTATATTATCTTATGTATTATTAATTATATTGGTAAAAAAATATATTATTAACAATTTTATTCTTTCAAATTAAAATATATCATAAAATCTATCTTTTACGTAGAAAATGTATTAACAACTATCCAAACATTTGGCGGCTAATACATATAATTTAACGTAATCAAGTGATTTTTTTATTAATACATATAATTTTTTATTGGAAGAAAATTTCTTTGAAATATTGCATTGACTAAAGACAGCTCACAGTAATCAAATCAATTTGAAGACTTTCCTGTTTTCTTCAAGTTATAGCTTTGACCCAATCGTCTCATTCATTTTTCCTTCACACCTTTCCATGCAATAAATTTCAAATTCATCTTTCCTTTTGCCATATAAGAAACCGATCCGCAGGCCCAGGGACCATAAATCCATCCGTTCCCCCCAGATCAGATCCTCGATTCTCAAACAAAACCAAGTGCAGGCATGGCTTCAAATCAACAAGTGAAGCTTTTCGGAACCGTAGGAAGCCTATTTGTGACGAGAGCAGAGATTGCTCTGAAACTCAAGGGAGTGGAATATGAGTACATTCATGAGTCCTTGACCAACAAAAGCGATCTTCTTCTCAAGTACAACCCAGTTCACAAGAAGGTCCCTGTGCTTCTTCACAACGAGAAGCCCATCTGTGAGTCTCTTGTGGTCGTTGAATACGTCGATGAGGCTTGGACTGGCTACCCTATCCTGCCTTCTGATCCTTATCAAAGAGCCCTGGCTCGTTTCTGGTCTAGGTTCATCGATGACAAGGTGATTAAACACTTGGAGCTTTGTCTTCTCTTTGTTTCTTATTACGAATTTGAATGATCGGTCACTCAACAAGTGTTTTCTTGCTTGGTTTTAGTTGTTGCCCGCGGGATTTAAAGCAGCGTGGAACCCGGACGTGAAGGAGAGGGAAAAGGGAGCTGAAGAAGCAACAGAGGCTCTGAAAATTCTGGAAAACGAGCTGAAAGGGAAGTTCTTTAATGGGGATTCAATTGGGTTAGTGGATATCGCCGCTCTGTTCATCGCTTTCTGGATGCCGATAATTCAAGAAGCTGGTGGGCTTGATCTGTACCGTGCTGAGACATATCCCAAGCTAGAGAAGTGGGGTCAAGAGATTTTGAATCACCCAGTGGTGAAAGGAGTTTTGCCTCCCAGAGAACATCTCCTCGCCTTCTTCAAAACTCGCTTTCAGAGCATCGCTGCTTCAAAGTAGATGATCCCAAAAATTACCCATAATCCAGCTTCGATTTACTTAATCATCCGGTGTAGTGATTGAGACTTGGAATAAAACACGTGTAACTAGGCTTTTCTCTTGCAAGGGAACCTGACTGTTCTTCGGTTTGGGTTATCACGTCATAAATCAAGCCTTATTGGCTGTCGTCCTTTCTTAAATCTCATTTTTGTCGTTTTGGTCTGCTAGATTTTTCTTTAACTTGTGTGTTTCATGAAAGCACGAGGATCTCTTTTCTATTTGGTGCCAAAACTTCGAAGTTCAATCATTTGTTTAATTTTGATGCGACTATCACTATCCCGTGTTGCCTTAAAATTGCTGAATGTGTCGCGATTGAGAAGGTTCTTAAAATTAGATAAGTTTTAGTCTGAGTAAAAATATTAGATGCTTTGAAGACTTGAGCAGAGTGAATGACGCTACAATGTGCCCTCCATAACTGACCAAAGAGAGTAGATCAGAAACCGAACCTCAAACCGAGAAACACGGATATTAGAATCTCCGGCAAAAGCAATGCCATGGCTTCAAATCCCCAAACGAGGCTTTACTCTTCGAAACTGAAGTGGGAGATAGGGACATATATTTATGAATGGCTGAAGAGTAAAATTGATCTTCTGGTCCAAACTCCAATACAAATCCAATTCATGGGGAGATTTTCGTGCTTCTTCACAATGAGAAACCAATATGCGAGTCGCTTCTGTTCATGAACTGCTAAGCCAATAATTATACAAAATATTGGGACATTCAGCTGAACTTGCTAGACTGCAGAAACTAGGTGCCGAAGAGATTTTTTTTTTTGGCCTGAAAGGTAATTCTATTCAAGATACTGTCGGGTTCTAATATGGGCTCCTCTTTCGGGTGTGTTTCGAACTTTGATTTGCTATGTTATGAGGGATTAGCCCCTTCTGCTAAACTCAACCGTCTATTGGTCAAAGAGGATTATTGGTGAAGAAGATTTGGATTCCTCTTGCTACTGGGCTTGGTCTTTCACGCCCTTAAGATGAGGGCTGTACAGGGGCTCTGTTTTCAGAATATGCAATACAGGCCCAGTCATTGCCACTGCCCAACTTAGTATCTATTCTCTCTATTATGACGTCTGTACAATAAATTTAGTCTCAATTTTCCTCCCTGTGATTTAAGGGGAAAAAGGTAGTTCGAATTTTTAAAATTTTGTTTTTATCTGATCAGATGAATATTCAATGCTTATTAATTTACATAAATGATAATAAAAACATTTTAGTCAAAATGAACATGGTTGTAGTTCATAAGGTTAAAAGGACCGCGTGATTTGGTTATCTCTTGGAAAATGATAGTAATATGCAATTGAGAAAAATTGATATCTAATTGCATGTATTTTATAATGAGACGATGTAAGGTAAACATGTGGTTTTTGAATGACTCAACCACCAAGTCATGTAAATTATCAACCTCCCGTTTTTTCTTTTCTTTTGTTTTTTTTTTTGGGGGTCGCAAAAGGAGATATCACACACAGAAAGCAGCATGCCCATGAGTGTGCTTCAGGAGATGAGCTTTCCTATAAAAATGTGTCGCTTTTCCACCTGTCAGTCTCCACTGAAGAGTCTTTTTGAGCAGCACTAACGTTGCGCGTCTAGCTAACCTCGGATTAGATCCTCCTAAACTAATTTTCTTCAACAACTCTTCTCATAAATGTACCTACCACCATATCACATTGATGAATCAATTTTATTCACCCTTAGCGTGTCTTTACCCTCCTCATGGCTATATAAGAAACCACCGAAGGACCCATCACATGCAGATCAGATCTTGAATGTCAAGTTCTGCAGCAAAAGAATAAGAAGCAGCAAAGAGGCATATGGCTGAAAAGCAAGAGGTGAGGCTTTTTGGAATCGTGGGAAGCCCAGAGACGACGAGAGTAGAGATTGCCCTGAAGCTTAAGGGAGTGGCATATGAGTACGTTCATGAGTCTCCCACCAACAAAAGCGATCTTCTTCTCAAGTATAACCCAGTTTACAAGAAGGTTCCTGTGCTTGCCCACCACGAAAAGCCAGTATGTGACTCTCTTGTGATTCTTGAATACGTTGATGAGACGTGGAAAGCTTGTCCCATCTTGCCTTCTGATCCTTACCAGAGAGCCTTGGCTCGTTTCTGGTCCAAGTTCATCGACGACAAGGTTAGAGAACTCAAGTTGCATCTTTTCTCTGTTTTATAATTAGCAGGAATTTGGGCTGAGTTCTGAAATGCAAGGTCATTAAACCTCTATTAACCTTTTCTATGATCATTTAGCTTATAAACAACCTTTCTGCTTAGGAACAAAATTTTGTCTCTCTCCCTGAAATATTTTTTCAAAAAAGGATTTTTTGTGTTGAAGTTTTTATTATGGAGCATAGGCGATTAATTAGCTGAGCATTGTGCAGGTGATACCAGCAATATTCAAAGCATCCCTGAACCCAAACGAGAAGGAGAGAGAAAAAGGGAAGGAAGAAGTATCGGAGGCTCTGCAAATAATGGAAAATGAGCTGAGAGGGAAGTTCTTCCATGGAGATTCAATTGGGATTGTGGACATTGCTGCCGTGTACGTTGCTTTCTGGCTTCCAATAATTCAAGAAGCCGGCGGCCTTCAACTCTTTACTGCTGACAAATTCCCAAAGCTTGAGAAATGGACTCATGAATTTCTGAATCTCCCTTATGTGAAGCCAACTTTACCTCCAAGAGAAAAGCCCCTTGCCTACTACAAAAATCTCTTTCACAGCCTTGCTTCTTCCAAGTAGACGAACCAAGCATGTGCTATTATCAGTGGTGCATCTTTCATGAGTTTTGTAGTTTCATGTCAAAATAAAATATAAACATCTCAGGTTGACTCAGATGCTATTAAAAAAAAATGCAGTGGATCGTAGGGATTTATCTTGATGGTTATGTGCTTGGATTAATGTGTCATGTGCAAAATTTATGATATGATGCCGTTCATTACACCGTCTTTGGTTCTTATTAGGTATGGGGCTCCAATACTGAAGGGTGGGCTTGCAAAAACTCAAACCCACTCTTCCAAACTACAAATGACAACATTATGGGAAATGGGCTCCATTGTTTTACCTTTCAATTCCGAAGGGTAGCCCAACTTGTAGTCCATATTCCATTACCCTTTTACTTTTTAGTCTGTACCCAAAAAAAAAAAACCTTTTTAGTTTGATGTATCAAATGTACCAAAAGAAAAACCAACAGGGTTCGGTCTAGAAGGGCTTAGTCTTCCACAACGTGGTGAATCAAGGTTTGAATCCTTGCTGGGAGAGATATCCGCATTTAGTGTCCGACAGTGCATCGAATATGATTGCTTCCAATAAAAGGGTATCCATGCTTTAGCAAAAAAAATCTAATTAAGCATCAGGTCTAATAAACCGATTTGTGGGAACAAGTTAAAAACTTGGGATTAGCTTGGTTAAATATTTCTTCTTTGTTTTTTTTTCTTTTAATGTTGTCATTGAGTATATTTCGTGTGTCGTTCATCAGATAAATTAAATTATCCTTTTTGTGCGTGTTCTCCCCTTTCCTCCCTTCTGCTTTGCACGCGCACAGATGAGTAAAATTGATATATATATATATATAAGTGTATATATCTCTGTATTTAAACTTTATAGCATTTTTATTATGTTTATGACTAGGTGATTCAATTAAAATAGAACAAACATTAAGTTTAACAATTTAATTCAAACAAGGAATGCGCTTGAATATTTATAGCTCTTGGACAAAATGTGAAAGGAGAGGAGAGTTAGACAGAACAGATGCAAAAGCAGCTTTGGATTAAATGAAAGTAGAAATTATATATATATATATATATATATATCTCTCTCTCTCTCTCCCCACAAGTCATTATGTGAAAAGGCAAAGGAGAAGTGGAGACCAACTTTAGTTGTTAGGAGTTATAGCCGTTGGTAGAATGAGCCTTTCACATAACTCTTTCTTTTTTTGTTGTTTTCATCTGCAAATTCTGTTGGAACAACTTTCTTCATCATTGTCATTGCTATGATCAAATAGAAAGTGTGTGTTAGTTTTGGTTTGGAGTAGGCTAAGCCTTGTAAGGAAAGTTATTAACTAACTTCTCATCACCCCACTAATCATATTTCTGCTTAACACAAGCCCCCCCTTATTTTTTGTAGGCTCATTTTCATTAAAGTTAAACACATTAAAGGGCACCTAAAAAGGATAGAAATGTAATTATGAACACAGTCTACCTTTTCGTTAATTATCTTTGTTGTATATATTGTTACTGGTACTTAGGCTTGGTTGTATATATAAAGACTTAGTTGTTGATAGAAGACAATGACATCGTGCGATTCATATTAGCTGACCTTACCTAATGGGATAAGACTTGTTTTGTTGTATTATATTATAATATTGTTGCTGGTCCTTAGGATACCCTTCATGGGGTGCTTCATCCAAAAATATCCTGACAATAAAATCGTCTAAACACCTTATGTGGGTTTGTTAATAAACTAAATTAGAAAAGGAATGTAAGTACATGGAATGAAATTTGGATGAGATAAATTTAGATGTAACTTGCTAGTTTTTTTTTTTTTAAAAAGATGCAACTTTTAAATAGTTAGTTGTTATTTTTCTTTTTCACACATGAAAATTTATATAAATTAGGTTCTAATAACTTATCAAGATTAGGATATACCTCAAGACTTGAGGAACATTTACGAAGTATTTATAGATTGCCCTCCTATTGACTCATCCAAATTCTAATATTACTGAGCTTAGAAAAAAAAATTCTCTCCTTATCTAACTTCAGTGTGAATCTACCATCAGAGACAATCTACTGTCACAAAGTTATAATTTTTAAGAAAAAGGTCACTTTAGTGAGTTCAGGACATATCAGAGCTTGATGTTGGATTTTATCAAGAAAGAAGAAAAAAAGAGAAAAATGGAAAGGACAAATCAGAGCGGAGGCAAAGCAAAAGAGATTAGGAATAATAATAATAGTTAATTGCTAAGGGCTCCCGCAGGGTAATTGCTTAGTAATTTGAGAAATGAGGATGTCTTCTCTCCCACACTCAAATCATCAAAGTTAAAACCTTTTTTTAAAATAATGTTAGATATGATTTCTTTTCTCTCACTGAATAAAAAACGATGCACTAATTTTTGTAGGAAAATTAATTTGTAATCAGTATTTTAAACATTATATTATCATTAATCTTTAAATTGGAATTAAAAAAGTTCACAGTTTACCAGTCTAAACATTACTAAATAATTAAGTTATTTTGTACGAAAATAAAAAGTGTTTGGAAATGAATATTTAAAAGATAAAAAAGTGGATCAAAATGTTTTGCAGTAAACCTTCATGAAATGATTCGGACAAAATCTAATAATTATATTAAATTTATAACCAGAATATCAAAATTTTAATTTAGAGAAATAATTAAAATACAAGTTTTTAAACTGTTTTGCCCAACTAATTTGTTAACAATTAATTATTTGCATGTGTATGGATAAATTTAGAACATCTTATGGCCAAAAAAATAGGGGACAAAATTTAACCAGATACACTTATTTCAACACCACGAGTGAAGTACTGTGATAAAAGACAATACCGGTTTTATAATATACATTAATTTTTTATATTTTTGCTAACAACTATGATTATACTTGTAATTTTTTAGGCAAATCATATTTATATTATTTTGTTATTTGACAAAAATAAATGTAAATTTCATGAAATACAAAATATTTTTTTTGAAAATTAATATAAAATAAATTTCTACATTTTTAAATTGTATGAAATATATATTTCAATAATTTATATATTTAATAACAAATTAATTTAAAAGCAACCACCTTTTTATGATAAACATGAGTAGGGGATGTTTTTTATAACAGAGTAGTGTATAACTTGACCGGAAATTGGGTATACATTATGGGACAGATCCGTGGTTTACACGATTCCCATGACATTTCTTTATTATAATTTAAACAAATCTCACATTGATCAATACCCTTATCGTTTTGCTTAAGCAAAAAAGCTCGAAAAGTAAACATTAGAGGGAGGAAATTTTACAGTGTACTTACAATAATGAAGAAACAGTTTTTTGGCCAAAAAAAAAAGAGAAGAAGTAAAAAGTGGTGAACAGAGCATTCTATTCAGGCATAAGCGAATCTGGGAGGTCTGAAAGTGGTTTTTCTCTCATCCCATCTTTCTTCCTGCCCATCACACAATAGGCTTTCGCTAGCTTCAGTAATCATCACCACTTCGTCCTTTGCGTATAAGTAACAATCAAAGGGCTCTCGCAAAATGGTCCATAGGTTTCTCCACATTGTCCAATCTTCTTCTCCTACCCTTCACTGTTGAGTGTTGACAGTGCTTTCACCTACAGGAAGAAAACAGACCCATTGGTGAGGGTTGTAAACATCAAACCCCAAACCCATAAAGTCCATTTTGAACTTCGGGGATTCTGTGTGTCTCAATGTCTTCGATTTTTGCATTACAGAGCTCGATTCTCACATGGGTTTTGCTCGAGAGGGGTTCAGGATAATTTTTTCTTAAAGAAGAATAGTTACAACGGAGGGTTTCATGGAGAAGAATGAAGCTATGGAAGGAAAGAAAAAGGAGGGAAATGGGGGAAAAATTGATGCTTGTGCTGACTTCGTGGAGGAAAAGGGTCGCCAGAGCTGTTCCAGTTCTGAATTTCTATCATCTGAGACGACAGGGCATGAAGAGCAAAATCAGAGCAGTACTGAGGAATCACCTTCTCCACCTTCAACAATGGGATGGCCTGTTAAGGAAATTGATGATGGAGAGAAAAAGAACTTGGATGATAAGAAAATGGAGAAGCAAGTTTCAGTGTTATCAGGTATGCCCACTCTGCTCTAAGTATCTAGGATTATTTTAATTATTCTCGCTGAACAAAATATCGGTACTAATCTGATTCTGATTCTCGCCACTAGAGATTGAGATGATGAAAGAGAGGTTTGCAAAATTGTTACTCGGAGAAGATATGTCTGGTTGTGGAAATGGAGTCCCTACTGCCTTGGCTATATCAAATGCCATAACTAATCTATGTGGTATGAAAATTCCGATGTTCTCGTGTTGTTCGTGTGCTTTCCCCGTCAATTAAAGGTTGTTATTCTGTTTCTTAGTTATTAAACATAGCTTTACTGCTTTGCAGCCACCCTCTTTGGGCAAGTATGGAGATTAGAACCATTGCCTCCTGAGAAAAAAGCAATGTGGAGAAGAGAGATTGAGTGGCTTCTTTGTGTCAGCGATCACATTGTTGAGTTGACACCTACTTGGCAGACTTTTCCAGATGGTAGCAAGCTTGAGGTAAACTGTACGCACATTTTCAGAATGGATATATGCATCTGTAAATTTTGCTGGTAAAAATGGCAATGAAGATAGTCTAGTACTGATGGTAATGACCAATATTACTCTTTTTTTCTTTTTTCCCCCCCTTCAGCGTCACACCCACATTTGCCAAAACTTATGGCATCCAAGTCCACCAATTTGACATAGGAATTAGCATAAAGGCGAGTCCTAAAGAGTTGTGGCAGACTTGCGTATTTGCTTGATGTCACTGTCGTGGCATTTGAAATGCAGGATTTACATAGAAAAAGATTGCACTGACTCTCCTTTCTCAATTAGTTCTTGCTTGCTAAATTTTCTGGCATAGGAAAAAGGAAAAAAAATTTACGTGGTCATCTTTGCGTTACCCTTAAGAAGTGTAACTTCATGCTTTATGGTCGATTAATTTTTAGGATTATTCTTGATTCGACACTTCCCCTTCATTTTCCCATTTGTTTGGTTGGGAGTCAAGCCAGGGGAAATACCCTGAAAATTTCACATTAGTAATGGCCCAAAGAGAAATTTAATCTTGGGTTTCTTCCCCCTCCCAAAGATCTTGGTCATGAAAGAATTTCCTTCCTTTTACTTGTTTGCTTGTGTCTATTGGCCCCCCTTCCAAGTATGGCCTGGCTTCACCCATGAGCCATGTTTGTGCCCTGCGTAATCTTGAATGTAGCGCCATGGTATCGTCAAGGTCTGCTTTGTGTGATTTGAGTCGATTTAATTTCGTTAATCATATAAATTTTATTTTGTTTCTCTTAACTTTTTTTGATGCATTGCATATGTTGATTTTATTGCTCCAACTGTAACGTGGAATTTTTCTTAACTGACGTTGCCACCATGTTTGTCCATATTTTATCTATCATTTCATCCGGTCATTTGGGGTTAATTTTGTTTGCTCTTAAATATGAATCAGGTCATGACTTGTAGACCCCGCTCGGATCTTTATGTCAATCTGCCAGCACTACGTAAATTAGATAACATGCTTCTTGTAAGTTTTTGCAGCTTCAGTGCATATTAATTCTATTTCCAAAAGGTAGCCATTGAGTGTCTTTCTAAACTGAGGTCTTTTCTGCAGGAAATATTAGATAGTTTTGTCAAGACAGAATTTTGGTATGTTGACCAGGGGGTTCTAGCCTCAGATGCAGATGATGGTTCTTCTTCTTTTCAGAGGGCCGTTCAGCGCCAAGAGGAAAAATGGTGGCTCCCAGTACCCCGAGTCCCTCCATGTGGCCTCCATGAAAATTCAAGAAAGCAGTTGCAGCACAAGCGGGATTGTACCAACCAAATATTAAAAGCTGCAATGGCCATCAACAGTATCACTTTGGCTGAAATGGAAATTCCAGAGGCATATTTGGAATCCCTTCCTAAGGTATAAATGAGCCATATTCTTTCCTTATAAGCTGATTAAATTACATAATTTGCTAAAACAACTGATACGGCCTTCTTTCAGAATGCAAGAGCCAGCCTGGGGGATCTTATTCATCGGTATATTTCATCAGAGCAATTCTCTCCAGATTGCCTGCTTGCCTGCCTGGATTTATCCTCCGAACATCAAGCTATAGAGATCACCAACCGAGTGGAGGCTTCTATCTACATATGGCGTAAAAAGACCAATTCCAAACCTGCTTCCAGATCCAGTTCTAGATCATCTTGGGGCATGGTCAAAGATCTGGTCGGTGATGCTGAAAAAAGGGAACTGCTTGCTGATAGAGCAGAAAGCCTTCTGCTATCTTTGAAGCAACGCTTCCCTGGCCTTCCTCAAACAACCTTAGACATGAGCAAAATCCAATACAACAAGGTTGGTATTCATTGTGTTCCAGGTTGAACTCCATTTCCTTGATGACAAAACTGAAGTGCAGTATTTCCACTTTTGTTATGAATTATTTTTAATAAAAATATGGCAAGTACATATCGTCTACAGTTTAAGACCACATAATTAGATCTTTCTTTCAACAAAAGAACTTTTCCACATTTAATGTTTAGATTGGAAATCTAATAGTAAACAGCCAAGTAACCTCACTTATGGTTGCCTGTTCCTTAGTAACAAATTTCTTCATTTACTTAAGTTCCTTCAAATTATTTTGTCTAGGATGTTGGGAAATCAATTCTGGAGAGCTACTCTCGGGTACTAGAAAGTTTGGCTTTTAACATCATAGCACGGATCGATGATGTGTTTTATGTGGATGAGCTGACCAAACATTCTGATCACTTCTCATCATTATCAAAAGTTGGAGTAGTTGCTCACAAGAGTATTACAGTGCCATTCACTGTTCCTGTCCCAAGCAGTCCATATAAAACAGCTTTTGCCACGCCGAGCTTTTCACCAGCACAAGGCATCAGCCCAGTGAAGGGAGAAAAATCCCAATTTATGAATGGCAGCAGAAACCTTCCCCATCATGGCGGGGTAGGTGTGAAGAAAGTTTTGACAGATTTTCTTAGCATTGATATGAAAGGGAAGGGCTATAGCAGCAGGAACCCAATTGAGAAACTAGTGCAAACACCAGAGAGGTCTGAAGAAAAGGCAGCATATGAAACAGACTTGGATTCTAGTGAGTGCACTGAAGAAGCTACTAGCCCCGAGAAGATAAAGGACCAAGCATGGAAAGAGTAGGAGAGGTCCTTCGACCTCATTTCTAAGACCCGTCGTACTGGGCCTTCTGTTTCTTTTTTAGATGTATATGTAATGCATAGAGGGATTCCCATTTCGAGTGGATAAGAGCATCTTCCGTTGTTGTTTATATATTATCTACATGTGGTTATTATATTGTCTATATATTACCTGACGTCGCGGTGGAAGTTGATGTTTCGATGGCATTTTGCAAAAATATTTGGACTGGCGGAAAAAATTAGCATTATCATCAAAGGGGCATTCCGAGAATTGAACTCGGGACCTCTCGCACCCTAAGCGAGAATCATACCACTAGACCAAATGCCCGATGTTGATTGCAGCCTCTGGGAGAAAATATCTAGATCCAACATACAAACCACACGATGTGAAGACTTTAAACGCGCCCAAACGACGAAGACTCTTGGATCTCTTTCCTGCCTGTTGACTAATTGGCTGTTTTCCAGTTTTCTTTCTTTTAATTTCTTGTTGCCATTAAAATTGTCATTCGAGATGTCATTAGTATCATTACCATTCTCCTGATGTGATTTTAAAATTCTTAAAAAAAAAAAGTGTGCAAAGGATCAACAGTTTTCAACACTATTTCTTCCGTGATCCCCTGCTCTCTGTTCATGCGTCAAAATGACTCGATATTAGACGCCACAACAGTTGTAAGTTAAAAATAATAACGCAAAAGACCTCCCCTTACCCGCTCGGCGGGTTCCCTTTGCGTGCGCGTAGTCTAAATCCAACTGACAAACTTTTAATATTCCTAGAAATACCTAATGCCCACCCTATCATCGAAGTCGTTGTAGTATAGTGGTAAGTATTTCCGCCTGTCACGCGGACGACCCGGGTTCGATCCCCGGCAACGGCGATTTTTACCTTTTTCCGCCCTTTCTTGAAGTGCCAGTTAGAAGAAGCGAAGTATCGTGCAGAAAGGACCAGCCACATATCGCAAATACTCGGATTCAATATTTTGCCACGAAACGGGAGAGCGCGATATTTTAGTGGTTTTATATAAGATTAGTAATATAGACCAACCCGCAAGTTAAATCTACATGGGTTGGGCTGAAACAACCCATTTGAAGGCAGGTTGGCTTTTAGCCAATTCTAACCCGTCAAGGTAGGTTGGTGGGTTGGCCAGCCAACCAGCCAACACTTTTTTTTTTTGTGAATTTTTTTGCCACGAAACGGGAGAGCGCGATATTTTAGTGGTTTTATATAAGATTGGTAATATGGACCAACCCGCGAGTTAAATCTACATGGGTTGGCCTGAAACAACCCATTTGAAGGCAGGTTGGCTTTTAGCCAATTCTAACCCGTCAAGGTAGGTTGGTGGGTTGGCCGGCCAATCAGGCAACACTTTTTTTTTGTGAATTTTTTAAATTTTTTTAATATTTTTTCTTATATGATATCTAAAAATAATAATAAAATTTTTTTCTTTAAAATATTTGATTAAAAACACCAAATAAATTATATAGGTATTTTTTAAATTTTTTAAATAGGATATAATATATAATAATATAATTATAATAATTTAAACTTTTGAAGAAAAAAAATGCGGGTTAACCCGCGGGTTGGGAGCCTGACAGGACATGTTCAAAAGGCTCGTTTACTAGTGGGTTGGCTTTTACTCAACCCTAACCCATTATTTTTTAGGGGTTAGACTCTAAATTTAACCCATATTACTAACTCTAGTTTTATAATTCTGGAGCAAAGAGTTCGCTCAGCCTTCTGGTGGTAATCGATGCTGCAACGTGACGGTATATATGTGAACACTGAACTTGGTGGATGCAAACCCAGCGAGAGGCCTGTCCAGTGCGAAAGTTTTACTATGAATGACGCTGAAACAGAAAAATTTAGAAACGGAGGGTCCGATGAACTTGCTGGAACTGAAGGATTTGATTCAGTGGTTGAGGGTGCAGGAAGATGTGTAAGTTCTGCACCTGGAATCTCAGCTCTTCTGCTCTCCCGCTGCTCACACTAATTTTTCAAACCTAGGGAATGATCGTTTATTGTTTGAAATTTTAAAAGTTACTCCAACAAATGAGAAAAAAAATGTGATGGAATCCAGTATTATACAAAAGCTCTTTTTTTTTTTTTGGAAAAGATAATGTTATTTTCTTATATACGGGAATAAAATTATGATATTCTCCCAGCAGCCTTTCCAGAAAGTGATGAATGAATTCCCATACATTGTAACTATACGTTAACATGGTAAAGACAACCTTGGGAAGAACAGTTTCTTTTTGACATTGAACTCCAAACCACGTTTGGAGACAAGGAGAGGTAAATTGGTGTTGTCCCTCTCCCACCATTGATGGACATGGGCAAAGGTTGGAGATGTGGATGAGAAGTAACATAACACCATAGATTTATCATTTTCGTTACAAGGGGTATTGCAACAATTTGAATGGACTCATCGGTTCGTTACCACACCTTCGGACATATTTTCTAAAAGTATATGCTTGTTGGGCAACATTACCAACCCACGCGCGTCAATTATTCAAATATAATATGAATGATTTCGTTGATTTGCGTCTTATTGTTTCTTGTTCTTGTGCTGTTTATTTTCCAATCTCAAGGGAAATATAAGCATCATGCACAGCTGCACAAGATTCAAATTATCACAATACCCCTTTGGAGGGTTTTCTTACTTTTAGCTGTGCAAGGCAATTCTTCGACTTCATTCTTCTGTTCAAACATGGTTCATGGACCCTCTAGCCTATATATTGCTTTCGATTCATTTTCTTGGAGAAAAAGATACTTGGCACTCTAAAATTATTAGATAAATTTCAGTTTGCGAGTCTACGGTCAATTATAATCAAATTTTATCTCTTGCGTGTGTGAGAAAAGAATTAACATCTTAGGTCGTCCAGTTCAATTCCGCAACTCCCCCCCCCATCAACGTCTGCAATAATGGCGAAGGAATCTAGAGGGACAAGGGTATCAGTTTCTCTGAAAAAGATATATGCATGTACATCAGTATATCAGTGAGAAATTGGATTAGGGCATCCACTTTTCAAGACCAAGTTCGTCACGATGTTCCAATCACGCATAAACATTCTTGCATGAATCCCTCTACTTGTCACGTACCGATTCAGTAAACTTGTTACAATTGTCAAAAATAACTTGATCCTGTCAAATTAAGGCGTTCAGTTATTCTCTATCATTCTCCTGATCTTATTAAAAGTACTAATACCCTGTGTAGAATGCGATGCACAAGAATCTTCTTGGGTCTCATAACCTACACAAATTATCCCTTAACTCTCAAATCACTAATCTTGTGTCTCATAACGTACACAGAATCAGTAGCTTGCAGCTATCAAGAGGGAACTGGACACATAGATCTGGAGAAAAGCTGAACTTTCAGATTACTCTGCTCCCTCAGACTTCATCATACTAAAGCTGCTTGCTTTTAGTCGTTTACTTAGTCTGAGAATCAATCAGTCAACTCCATACATTGCGTGGTCCAGACCAAACCTACAAAAAAAATCCCCACTTACTAGCTTTATGGGTCAGAGCAAGAAGACAATTACGCAGGGAATATGTTTACGTGGTTAGGGATAGCATCAAATGCTCCCATTTTCTCGCTCAAAAGCCATGTGATTTTCTCATTTTCATCCCCACACAACGTAAAAGGCGACAAATTCACCAGCACAGAGGGTTTCTCACAATCTATTAGCTTCAGGCACAGTTTCAGCCACAATATGAGTTGCTAATAAAAGATGCATATTCTTCATTCTAAAATACATAGAGAACCATTAAGAGTTTTTTTTTCCACACTATAATTCTGAAGTTTCAGCTGCATCAAGAGTAGTTTGACAATCAATCGGGTTTCGCAGGCAATACAACCTTTACATTCTACAATACAAAGAGCAAGGAAAACATTCTTTACAGTAAAGCAGAAGGAATTACACAATTAGAGGTTCATGTTATGGTTCTGCTGTTTGGACAGAGAAATGAACTAGCTCGCCCACAACTATCTCGCTACCGTATAACTCTCCCATATAATACAAGGAAGAATTATCCTGCACTAAGACTTCCTATTTACCTGAAAGGCAAGCAATTGACAAACAAATTGATACAGCAACAACAAATTAGTACAACTTCTGCCTCGGTTTACTGAATTTCTTTTTCTTCTAAAATGAAATAAATAAAGAAATTTGAAGAAGTAAAAACAATGATTCCTCAAATCCAAAGCTAATTAAATGTTATAGAATCTGGAGTTACCTTGATGAGCTTATTCGATCGAAAGTATGCTATTAATAATAAAGAGACCCTGCATGAAGTAAGCGACAAGAGAGAAACTGAATGAGAAAACAACGAAAATGATACTACAAACCATACTCAAAATGTTATGCCCCAACGAAGTAACATACCTTGCCACCAGTTTCCTCTAGGGGCACTTCCTGAATCATCTTCTCCCCCATCTTTCTTGTACTGATAAATTAGAAGTCATGTCAGGGATTCCAAATACCAGAAAAATATCAACTGAGTTTGTGTGAGTGTGTGTGTAAACCCTGCTTGTGTTAAACTCTATTCAGGGCTCAACAAAGTGACTTTATCAAGCTTTAAGCTTTTGATTTGATCTCTCTTGATTTCTATCTAGTATTTTATGATTTATTATCTTCATTCACAAGTTCTTTATTTCGCAGTAGTTGGCATGCCTTAATATTATTTTCAGCTCATGTATTGGACTTCTACTAATACAGTGCATTTTCTCAGAGCAGTGCATTTAAGATGTTACTCCAGAAGAAATGCGCTTTGTTTATAAGGGATACAATACACCCTTGAATTAATATCTTGGGATGTCCTTATAACTGACTAGCATTAAACAAATGGGCTCACCAAAGGGTTTAGTCCAGCATTCTCTGTCTTCTGAGGATGAGAATATATGTCCTGTCCACCGTAATAGATTGATGAACTAAGGTGGCAAGGTTGAACTCTTTGTTCCTGATAAATGGAACTCATATCCTTATATGAAGTACTCTGACTTTCATTCTCATCTCCCTTGATGTTTCTATCTGTACGGTCATCAGGTATAAGGCAAAGATGTTAAAAAAAAAAAAGAAATTACAGACTGATCCATGGTTAATAAAAGGTTAGATGCTATAGATTATAATACTTCAGAAAACATAAGAAATTAGAGTATAAGTCAAACCAAATTGTGTTTCACCAAATATGACCACAACACTAATTGGCTCCCATAGAGATTATCTGTATCGCTTTTTTTTTGGGGGGGGGGGGTGTTCCGTTCGACAATTAACTCATTTCTCTTCTTGATACCTTGATATTATTTTATTACTAGGGGAAATGAAATTGATCCGACACCAAATTTTCAAGTAATAAAATGGCACATAAATCTTCAATCAAGCTAGCCGATATAGGGATCTTTCTTTCGCTAATCAAAACTCTCAACTATTGATATGACTTTCAAACATAATCAGCAGCCGCCAGGGTAATATAGATGAGATAATTAAATGAAGAACGTAGAAAGAATACAGATGATAACTAGGACACCAAGCCACATGCCAGAATTTCAGAGATCAAAGAAGCAGAAGCATATAGGAGTGATCTATAGTACAACTTTAAACATTATCAGAAATGATAGAAGTAAATCAAATACTCTCTCCAAAAACTACTTATAAGAAACACATGTTAATAGGCCCGGAGGTAGTATGTAAGAAGAGGCTAAAATTGATTGTGCCTACCAGCAGTCCCACTCTTGGGGCTCCATGTCTCACTGGCAGTTTTTACACCCTCTCTAGGAGGCAGGTAACCAGTCCCTAACACCTGAATCAAAAAGTCCAAGAAAAGTCTCAGCCATTTTTCATCTGAACATAGATATGAGTGAACCCAACTTCAAGGTTCAAAGCAAAACTTCCATAACCAGATGAATCTAATTTTCAGCTCTCTGTTAATTCCATAGGTGTGAGTACTCATTTTCTATATTTTCTTTTGGTTCTTTTGGCCAAGCTGAGATTGGACTACAATGGTGAAGGGAAATTGATGGGGAAAAATGCGGAGATTGAACTGAAACCTCCAGAATTAAACTAAAAATGATGCATGAAAAATTAAACAGAGAAGAAGCTCTGAAAACGAAAACGTCACCTTAGATGATGGAGAAAATATAGACCCTAAAATCCCAGAAGACGAAGATGGGGATTGATCCTTAGAACCAAAGAGCTCAGAAGTGAAGGAAGAAGACGAGCCAACTTGATTCTTTCCTTCCATTATCGTCCCTACCTTAAACCTCTACAGCAAATCTTTCACTGACCTCAAAGAAATGGGATTCAAATCTCACGCAAATAATATATCAGGCACGGTCCAATAGAATCTTTAATGAGAAAAACCAACAAGTTATTTATGTTTCCTTGGGGAACAGAGTGAAGGAAGGAAGAAAAGAAAACGAAATAGATGAAAACTTGAGAAGACACGTGAAAGTTTCGCTCTGGATGGAGAGGGAGAGACTGATTCAAATGAAACCGTCGTTCACGACCCCATTTATAAGGCAGGAAAGACGGCCTCCAAGGGAAAAAGTCTAAATCTTTTTTTGCATCACCCCTTTTTTTCTCTCGTTATTATTCTTCGGAAACATAAACAGCAACACAAAAGAAAAGCAGAGCCTCCCTCCCTTTCTCGGCCTCCCCTGCTCCTTTTTGTTTCCACTCTCCTTTCTCGTCGGCCTTCAGACTGCCATGAGGTTCTTAGATTGGTGCCACGTGGATTTTCGACCCCCAGCGGTGGGTTCCACAAGCAAATCCCCAACCATTTACTGCCACGAGTACCAAATGGATAATAACAATTCTGCCCTTGTGGCCCCATGCTTCTCGAGAGGGCAGCTTGGACTTTGGCAATGATCCTAGGTAATTAATTATGCTTTGTTTATCAAGACCTGATTTAATCTGAAAATAATGTATCAACAGGTAAGGATAAACAGTACCGGAAAAAGAAACCAAATGTGAGAGCAACCAATTTATTAACAAATATTTTTTGTTGGCAAAAAAAAAAATTACACACATGTCTTACAGAAAAGAATTAATTCTAGGGCTAAGGTGCACCCAGCACCCAGAACTATTTATCCAGGTGCGTCCAGTGGCCTAAAGTAATTTTAGGTGTATCCAGTGTCCTAAACTAATTAAAATGGTACGTCCATATCCCAGGCTAACAGAAATGTTATGTTTAACTGTTACTTTCCTGACTCAGCTTAAAGTTGACCCCAAATATTCTAAATGGTAGACATATGGACATTTGATATGTATTATTCTTACTCAAAATTAAATTTATTTCCTTCCTCTTCTTCTAAATAAATTGTCTTTTGAGTAAGAATAATACACATCGGGTGCCCATGTGTCTACCATGTAAAATATGTGAAGTCAACTTTAAGTTGAGTCAGGAAAGTAACAGTTAAACATAATATTTCTATTAGCCTGGGATATGAACGCACCATTTTAATTAGTTTAGGACACTAGATGCATCCAAAATTACTTTAGGCCACTGGACGCACCTGGGTAAATAGTTCGAGGTACTGGGTGCACCTTAACCCTTAATTCTAAAAGGTCTCTCAAAATCCCCAAATGCTTCCTAAGTCCCCAGGGACTTCAAAGCAAAAAATTAAAATTGTAAAATTACCTACTTGCCCTCACTGATGGAAAAGGTTGTGACTGGCAGCTGTGTAGGTTGTGACTATATGTTGTGCATGTTGTCATTCGGTTAAGTGTAGGCTGTGATTGGCTTTTGTGCATATTATGAATGACTCAAATGTAGGTTGTGATTGACTTCTGTGTAGGTTGTGACTGTAGCTATGCATGTTGTCATTCGGTGAGAGCAAGTAGGTAATTTCATGATTTTAATTTTTTGTTCTGAGGTCCATGGAGACTTAGGAAGCATTTGGAGATTTTCATAGACTTTTTCAGAATTAATTATCTTCTATGGGACCTTTGTATAATTTTTCCAAAAAAAACAAATGTTTTCGATCAAAATAATTCGATAAATAATTTATTAATAAATTTTATTCATCATATTGTTGCGGGAATGAATCACTCATAATGAATCGATCATCGGTTATAATGGCAACACTGACACTGTGAACGATTAAATGCACTGATGCGCTATTTATGAACAATAAATCAAATTTATTGGATTAAAGTTGAGTTAATTTAGACAATCAAGAAACTCGAAAGACTTGGATTCAGATTTTTTTAAAAATTAAAATTAATACGCAAGGGAAGTATTTCTGCTTTATTCTAGCCGTTTTATTGGGCAAGGTTTCCCAACCATGCCAACAATATGTGTGTATATATTTATATATATACTATTTTCAGTTCCAAATATAAGATTTAGTTGAAAATTTAATTTATTCTTACAATATCTCAATTCATTTTATCTCCCATATTTGTTCATTTTTTTTATATTGGTCCTCATGTTGATTACACATATTAGAGAGTTTTCATTCTAATGCATATGACTAATAAGGATATTTTGAAAAAGACAACGTATATTTATTACAAATAACGAATTTAACTAATTTTTCTTAATATTTAGGGAGAATTCCAAAAAAAAAAATTTTAAAATTCTAAATCAGTCTTGCTTACTGCACTTTAATAACAATTGATAATATTTCAAAAACAAATGACAACAAATTTTTATAGTCATTCCTAATTTGATATTTTGAAATTTTACAAGTAATTTTTTGGGAATTCTCCCTAATATTTATAAATTAATCACCTAGTTTTTATATTAAAAACTCAAGGCAGTATGTATGTATTTTTTTACACTTCAAGGAGATACATATATATATATATATATATTTGTTTTAGCCTCAAGTTAAGGGCATACAAATGTTGAATTTATTAGAAGATTATTCCACAAACATAAAAAGTAAATAATTTTACTCGCTCATAACTACTGTTAAACTAGTTTTTTAATATAAACATTGTACATTTGGGGATGTGAAAAGTAAAGCATAGGTCAATTCTTGCACATGAATTGAACTACATATATATAGAGGAACATAACAAATTTAATAATGAACTTCAATACATGAATGGATTGAAATGAGTTGAAATAAAGATAAGATTAATATAAATATATGAGAGAGGTTAAAAGAGGAGAGGGGGGACGGGCCATAATAAGGATCTTAGGTGGATATGTTGTCGGGCAAAGGGACGTGAGAGATGGATTTGGGGTTGAAATATAAATAAGGGGTTAGATTTGGATGCATTATATTGAATCATGTACAAGAAAGTAAAAAAAAGGGAGAGGAATGGCATTAAATTGTCATGTTGAGAGAAATATTAATTAGTATGGGTTTTGGTATGGCCAATCAATCACTCACTTAATTTATGAATATTGAAAATCAAGTCTCCATTCAGTGGCTGAGGTTGATATTTATGTCCCATTTGTACCCTTCCTTCTCATGAATAAATGTCAAAATTCAAAGAGGTTGATATTTACATAAATTTTATGGTTTATAAGTTATGACCAATGTAGTAATTCCTAGTTTTCATTTTTTTTAATTATTGTAACCACTCTCCAAAAATTTTTGTGTTGCTCCTAATGATTCCTTTGATATTCTTCACGTATCTCAAATAGAGTTTGAAGTTGTACAAAATATGAAGGTAAAAAATGTAAAAAAGAAGAAGAAGATATTGTACCTAAAAAGTTCTTCAAAAGTACCTAATTGAGTTCTTTTAAAAAGAAAATAACATGCCCTGAATTTATTTTATCTACTGTCTCCATTATCTTTCTTACTATATAAGCAAAGTCAGAGTTAACATAAATAACTGTGAGAATTAATATTATCCAAGATTTTCAAAATGGCTTATTGTTTGGTAAATGCAAACCTCGCCAAGAAGCTCTCGGTTTTACTCTTGTAAGGGGAACATAAATTCAAATTTTAAAAATTTTAATGCTCACAATTCAGCAAGGTTAGGCATAAGTTCAAAATAGTTTGGCCAGAAAAAAAATCTTATTAGAAAGAGTAAAAAAAAGAAAATATAAGTAAATATTTAATTATACTAAAACCAACTTGAAGGGAATTTTAAATTAGAAATGCAAGTGGGATCAGATCAGACACTGGTCTCAAATCAAAATGATTAGGGATGGCCTCAAATAATGTCATCATCAACCTCAACCAGACCAACTGAATTATCTGATTTTTTTTTTCACCCTCATTAAAATCTCCGTTAATTGTTTTACCATGTTCTAGGTAATTAAGAAGCAACACTTGCAGTTTAAAGGCAGGATGAAAGATAAGATGGGAGGAAAACAAGTAACAGATGTCAAATAATGAGTGGCAATATGGGTTGTGGATAAGATTAAGAGGTTAGAATCATGAGATTACCCGAAGGGATAAGGTTAAAAATCGAACAAAATGGATATTAATGTGATTAGGATAAGCTGGTGATGTAATTCATCAGATAATAATAAAAAAAAAAAAAACGGTGGCAGACACATAAGAAACTTAGATAAGTACAAGAAATAAACGACATATAGATGATAATAAATTAACAATATTCAAACGGATAATAAGCAGATTAGAGATATATGCAGAAAGAGTGAGGGGTTGGTTAATAAGTTGGGTTTTTTTTCCCCTAATGACTCATACATACATTATATTTTTTATTAAAAGTTTGAACTGGCAATTGTATGCTTAAGCAGGTTTTAAAAAAACATGTCGAGTTAATTGAACCACAATCCTAAACAATAAGTTAGGTCATTGAACTTAAGTTTGCTTATAAGTTGGGAATCAGGTTTTCAATTATTTCCTTAAAATTGTACTCTTTTGGTCCTAAATATAAGACTCTTATACTAAAACCGGAGGAGTATCAACTTAAACATTGGTATAAAAATTGTATTCATATTATGCAACTTTTGTAAATGGTTTATAGGTCCTGTTTCTTAAATATCATTCATTATTAGTTTATGAAAAAAGTCTCTAGTTATTTGACAAATTTAAGTTGTTTAATATTGTAAAAGTTATTTAAATAATCTACCAGTCGTACGATTTAAAATTTTTATTGTAATAATTTTTACCATGTAAAATATTTAATGCATTATAAAAATAATCCTCAATAAGCTGCCTTTGCAATAAAAACTAAAACATTTCTTACATTTTATTTTAAAAAATATAACACGTAAATACAATATTATACCAATTTTTTTTAAAAAAAATCAACCAAAATTTTTGAAATTAAACATGAAAGATACTACATATCTTCTGCCTTGAGAGTCGCCGCGCGTGTTTACTTCCAACTTCCATCCACAAAAAAGTGTCGCCACTTTTCGTTGGCCTCAAAAGTCCACTCTCAGTTTGGTCACCTCAAATAATTGTTCCAATAAAAAAAATCATTTTAGAATTATTGTTTAGCTCTTAGTACAAAAAAAAGCTCTCAAATAGTTTTAATTTAATAATTTTAGGAAAAACATATTTTCATTCGATTTCCAAATTGAATGAATATTGTGAAAATAATAAAATTTAAAGCGTGGATCTGCATTTAAAAATAAATTTAAGAAGTAAAAATAAAAAATTTCAAAAATAATATATTACAGAGTCCATAAGAAGTTGCATTATTTATAGGTCTTAAATAAATAATATGACGAAATTA